CTGGATGGGGTTTATAGTCTCCTTTTATTTGTGCAACTAATGGCGGAATAAAAGTCGGGCATCCTGAGAGGCAGCTATGGAAGTTTGCTAAATGTCATTACAAAATCAAAATTATGTATTAAGAAAGAAAATATGATCAATCAGTGTGTCCAATATAACCTGTAAAACATTCTCGTTTTCAGTCAGCCAATTTACCTCGAAATCGATTAAGAGTTTACTGGAATCACAATGTGAAAAGTCATAAAGGAAGGTTAGTCTCAATTGAAGCATACGTCTCTGACAGCAGCTTGGTCTGACCTAAGATGGCCGCTCTGTCGGTACGCCTCTCATGGTGCGGGGTCTATGTGTATGAGGTTTTCCAGCACCATCTTACTTTAAAAACCTCAATATATCGCCTTTGTTATTGTATCGGAATAAATCGCATTAAGACTGATGTATGGGGATATGTATCATATGAACAAATTTATGCTAATTCACACCCCTATTAGATTATGCTTGTTTTGTGGATAGCAGAACAGTTGTGTGTGAACTGGGTGAAGAAAGGAGGGCTGACAACACAGCTCTGCACGGCACAATTGTTGGTCAGGGAGGCGGACGTGAGTTGTGAGAAGCTGTTTGGTATCATGACAGTTTTGAAAATGAATTTATTCCCTTTCCCATGAAAAGAGCCGAGTTTATTATTTAATTTCATAGTAATTTAAATGGATACGGTTGAACCCCCCATAACGAGCATTTGTAAACTTCAGTCCCCTCATTTTAAAACCCAACAGTTCTGCCAGGTTAGATGGTTGGAAAGCGCAACAAAAAAAATGCATTCCCCATGCAATTAAACCCTTCTTACGCTAATGTGTTATAATGGGTTGCTGTGTACCTAGATGCATTATTTTGATAATACCATCTGATAGCAGGCTTTCTCATGACACCTGGCATTATTAAGCCTTTGTATTTTCCCAACTCCTTACACTGTAATCAGATTTCATTATGCAAATACTGTAAGAGGAGCTGCTGGTTGACAAATACGGCACGTCCCGATGCTGTAGTGTGTCCTTTCCTCTCTGTCCCAGATCAAATAATGGGGGGCTGTTTATTCCTCCAAGGAAGAAAACAAAAAGAGTTTGGTGACTTTTAGCTTTCAAGAATTTGAACAAAACCGAGAAACTTGAAAAGGTTTGCATGAAAAGAGTCAGAAATCATTTTGGTCTTTTTAATTACTTGTCCTTTTATGTTTTGATAGATGACAAATAATAGTAGACTAGGCGACCCATGTCGGCGATATCTCGAATAACACCTGGCAACCATTGACTCTTAAGGTTTTGTTTGACACTAATGTGCGTAAATACGATCCATAACTAGTTTTAAACTCTTTTTTATAGTTAATGAAAATATTTTTTTTGCATCAGTTTAATTGAAAGTAATCAAAGAACTCCTGTTAGGGAACAGTAGGGCACGTTCAGGTAATTTGTGAGTTGCTGCTCCCATGGTAGGGGTTCCTGTGGTAGGGGTTCCTGCACCCATCCAAGAAAAACTGGAAAGAGTAAACATCCAGGGCACCACTAAGCTGCTCCAAACACCTTTAATCACTTCCTTGAGATTGGAGAGGGTGGCAGCAGAGGGGCGGCAATGGAAGCAGAGGCGCAACGTAAATATGTGCTGGAGAAATGGGTTGATTTGCTTCATTAACATTCAAGCGCCATGAAGATGTCGTTCCCTCGGCGGCATGATGGGGCATAAAGATGAGAGTGAGGTGGCTCTCGCCTTGGTTCCACTTCTGTTGGATGATAAAATGACAGGCAGCAGTTGACTGGGTGACAGTGACTCCCTGTGTGTTGCTGACAGGCCTCACCAAGAGCTGCTGATAAAGTCATCCGGACCTCAACATGCCTGTTTGGAGATTAGACGGACATGTTGTATGTACATTATTTAGCTGTTGTAATAGGAATGACAGATAAAACCACTACTATCTTCATAAAATATGCATTTCACTAATAGACAAGCAGTCGGTAACGAGGATAATTACCTCCTGGATGATATAAAATAATGTCAGATACATTGCGTCTCAGTCTCTATCTTTAAATTGGAAATGTACACGTCCAAAACAGACTGCCAAGATAGAAAGAGACCAGCTGTGACCTCCGAGAAGTTATTAATGCCATCAGTCAGTTTTATGGGGCTTTTTTTTTTTTCAAACTAAATGATGTCAAAATACAAAGTATAAATCATTTAAAAGAGCAGAGCGCAAGTTCTGGAGTTTATGCAGAGGTTCGCCCCCCTCTGTCAACAAGTTGAAATTACACCATTGTTGTCCACTAAAGTGTGCGACTACACAGGTCTTTTGCTTCGAAGAGTAATCTAATCTGGCATTAGAAACAAATAAGTATAGACGTTATTTCGAATGGAGTACCTTATCATTTTAGAAAAAAAACATATAATAATGACCAACTGCGGGTCCATTTTCATTCCCAAGGCAGACCTCCCTCCTGCCTCAGTATTTATTCTCTCCATGTTCTGTTGCAGATCAGACACCCACTGCAGCCTTTTTCGTTGCATTAAACATCCACATCTTTTTCAATAAATGTTATCTGGCCGGTTCAACAAAGTAGCCAGGTGAACAAAGTATGCATGCATGCACAACCAGAGGATTTAGTCCCAGATTGTTCTCTTATGAAGTCATGAATGAAACCTAAAGAGGAAACTGTGGTAAATAGATGAAAGCTTATTTTACATGTCAGGCCATTTATAGAAATAAAAACAATGATTTTTACCTTTTTAAACTGGAGCACTGCACCTTTAAGAGTTCTTTTAATGGTCCATCTACATACCTTCAGATTTACTGTACCTCTGTATCAAAACTTGCAATGCTCACGGAAATTGTAAAAGATGCAAGAATCCTTGTCAAACTTCGTTGAACTCTGTTGGTCATGTAAAGTAACTGGTCTTGACATTAATGTTTAAAATATTTGTCTTAAAATAACATTTCTTTTTTGTGTAAAATGAAATTATGAATAATTACAAATGTTTCAAACCAGGTGTGATTATGATATGATGGGTCATGAGAAGTTCAGACTTAACTCAGCTTAATTAGAGATAAATAGACCTCAATGAACAGAACGTGTCAACAGAAATAATATAGGGTATACTGGGCGAAAAAGTTTTCTTTTTTTGTCATCATGACAAATTTCCCTCTTCAGATTTCATTCTAACATTTTAAAAGAACATATTAAACTTTAAACGTGAAGCAAAGTCTTTGAATTTCCAAATGACTGAAACAGAATATATTAGGGCTTAGATGTATTGAAGTTGACTTTTCATCAATCATTAGGACGTGTTTGTAGGTCTAATACTAAATGCATGGCAGACAATTTGGATACAGATAAAGACTCCTATAACTAAGGCTGATAACAGTGAGCCTTTAATGACTTGACCTTGAAAATAGGTTGATTATCAACTCTCAAAACTGCTGCTATAACATATTTTTAGGCGGGTAAAATAGCACCAGCCCTCAGGACTCTTAATCTGAAAGGTGGTAGGGCCTTTTATCCTCTGAATCAGAGCACTCTGCAACTTAATGAGCCTCTAAATTACACTAATGAACTGACCTTCTCAAGAACTTTGTGACACTTTCTGCTGAAAAATCCTTTTTTTAAATATATATATATATATATATATATATATATATATATATATATATATATATATATATATATATATACAACATTAGAGGGATTCCTCAAGGCTACATATTTGGTCTCGGTCACTTTTCATTATATGACCTCCCAATGGTGCCTTTTTTTCATCAATGTAACGTATACTTTCATCATTTTGAAAGAGAGTTTTACTCCTCAGTAAGGAAAGTAGCTATTGGCTGTGCTAGAAGTCGCTGAATAATATCATTGCCTAATTTGCATAATCTGCCACATGATCTAATGTGCATATTATTGACGCTGTGGAAGAAATAACGTGAGTAAACAAAGTGAGTAAAAACACTTAGAATATATAGAGCTATTTTTTCTGTCCATTAATATTTATTTATTTATTTTTTTGTTTTATTAATTTTTTTTTATTTTTTATTTTTATTAATGTTAAGTTATTAAAATACTAACCCTCCTCCTTTACCCGGGCCTGGGACTGGCAAAATTAACTATAAAGAGACACTATTATTTATTTTTTTCCAACTTTTTTTTTAACTTTTTCTTTTTTCTTTTGTGGTCCCCTAAGGAGCCTACAAAGCATGGTAGAACATGAAAATTTTGAAGCATAACATTTTTTTTTACATTACATTAACATTAACAATCGAAATTGAACAAAAAAAGACTAAAAAGAATGAATGACAATGTGAGCAAATAATGGTAAATGTTATTATTATTTTTAAACTGATAAGATTTCCTTCCACACACACAGGCTGTACTTGCCTGCTCACAGAAAGAGTGGGTCCTCGTCATGTTGGTCAAGGCTCTCTATGGCAGGTTCAGCAACTGACTCCAGCCTGATCAACCTGCGCCATCAAAACGGATGCACAGTTCATTTGCATGCCTCAAAACTGAAAGAGTTTTATCCACTACACCTTTTATCTAGAAATTACGGATGTTTAAATATATGCGTCGATTTGTAAGCAAAGGCTGTAGGAAAGTATAGCTTGTCTTTATTTAGAAAATATGGATATTTTGCTTGTTAATTTTCCTGTTGGAACAGGGTAGATTGACCCTGAGGTTCTGGTGCCAATCCGCTTTCGGGCACCCCTCAGTGTACCTTGGTTATTGCCTGGACACCCTTATAAAAAATTTCTGGCTACGCCTCTGAATGACAAACATTTGGCGCATTTTTCAGGAACTCCTAATGGGTTGGTAGCAACCTGAATATTAATTCTAAAGGTATTTACCTTATAGTAATGAAAACCGACATTCCTTGCAGAGCATGTAGTTTTAGCCTGGATTCATCTCATTACCTCGGCATGTTAGAGCGGCAGGATGTGTGATTCTTGGTTTCTGTTTCTGTGTCTGCAGTCCCTCCAGTGCTGTCGGTGTTCCAGCAGTCCTTCAACGCTACAGCTGACTACCAGGAATCGGTCACGTTTACGTGCATCACTTCTGGATCTCCCGAGCCACTGGTCACCTGGCACAGGTAATGTTCCAGACAGAAAATAATACAACTTAGTTTCTTTTAATTGTTGAAGTGTGGCTTTAATTAGGTGGAAACAATTCACAGTGAGGATCGAAAAAGGAGTTGATGGGGATTTTTTTCCACGTTTGTGATGCTTTGTATCACTGCTCAGATTTTTTTAGGTGGACTACAGAGAAAAGAAAATTTGACCAACGTGGTCATTTTAGAAAAGGCTTTTTGGAACAAGATGCTTGCAATGAAATGCTTCTTTTGAGACTTTCAAGGTCAGGCTGTAGGTTCAAGAAACTCCACAGCTATGTAACAATTATTATTTTTTAAATATCTGTTCAGCAGACCAATACCTTTTATAGACAAAAACCTGTAGAATAATTATTATTTTGAGTGATTTGCATGCAGTCAATAGAAATGAAATCAGAATTCTGCCAAATTAGCATGGATACTTATAGTACTAGTTTTATTTAATTCATTTCAAAGTTTAAATGTTTTTAAAATTTTCACTTGTTTTTGTTTTTTTTTGTTTTTATTTAGTTCAGTTTACGTTTTGTTTTATTTACTTTTGGGAAATCCTAACTCTCAGTTTCATTTTAGTTACACTTTTGTTATTTTATGTAATATAACTTACACAATGGGGGCGAGACAAAAAAAAAAAAGAATAAAAAAATAAAATAAAATACTGCACCTGCCATCTGTTGGCGTAATGCAGTAAAGTGGCAAAAAAAAGTGAAAAACAACAAACAGAAACTGCACCTCATATTATTGCATTATGATAAAGACACAGATGAAAAATAAGGACATTCTCTCTTAAAATTCAGTTAGTTTTAATTAATGCTGTTTTAACTCTTACCACAGTTTCAGTTAGTTTTTTTTTCTTGAAAGAAATATTTTTTTTTTTTATTACAGTTAATGTTTTTTTTAATTCTAGCTTTCGTTATGTTGTTATTAAGTTAACATTACCAACTTTGATTCACAGTCACATAAACTGCTCTCCACATTTTACTGTTGCAAATTAATTGCCAGTGTGTCACATCTCCTATGTTCCTCTGGATTATCTTCTTCCTGCTTGTTACAATTAACAATAATTGATTTAATTTAATGCTTTTCTTTTTGTTTTAAACAAAGTGTTTTATATTTTAATTTGGGTTTAGAACGTTCTCCATCATTCATATTTACTGCGGCTCGCTCAGCTGGTTGATTAAACAACATAATTTTGTTTTTCCTTTGCTTGCAGTAGTTGAATGATTTTTTTTCTTCTACCACATGAAAATATTTACAAAATCATTTCACGCCTCTGGAAACCTTTTCTTTCGTGGCGTTGTTTGCAAAAGCGGCTGTTTGAATTGGAACATTTGAGCCCCCTGTTGTAGGAAATGCTGCAGAATCAGATATGAAGGTCATTTTTAATCAAAACTACGGTATTCCTGCATTGTAACTGCATTTATGGTCATACATGAAAACAATCAAAATATTTTTTCTAATTTTTTTTAACCTTCTGGTTTCAAATTCAAAAACAGATGACAAATACTGTGGATTTAAGACATTTTAGAAGTTGAATATGCACCGAATAGCTCAACGTTCAGCTGCAGACACCTTTTAAGGCTTATATTAATCCATCTGATCTGTTTTGATTATGGTAACAATCGTTCTCTATTAAGGTTACAAGAAACATCAGATTTTTGTTTAATAGAAAAATCATAATAAATACTGAAGGCTTAATTTTTTTACTATTGAGGAGATCATGGGGTATTTCTGTGATCCAAAATGGCTCTCCTTCTGCAGCAGCCTCCATAACCAGAGGCTGCATCCATTGATACTGGATTGGTTCTTTGTCATACAGAAGCATTCCTAATCCTAATCTAGTTTGTTATAAATTAAGCTAAAGTAAAGCAGATAATACAGTTAATGTGGTGATATATGATGCAAACTAAGCAAAGTATCAAAATATATATTTGCATTTAAAATCACAATAAAAGCTGGTTTATTGAGGGAATTTGTTAAATAGTTTAAAGGCACACTATGCAACATTTTTCAGTTAATTAATGTGTTCCATAACGTTATGGATGATTAAATGATTCATTTCAGGTTGAACAAAGGTATTCTCGGCCGCCCTGGTGGTCTGTGGGGGAAATACTGCAATTGCAGGAGCACCGACCCGCACTCACAGGCTCAGAAGTCTCGCGAGAGTCAGTCTTGCTTTACGGCGAGAACTGCTACACGCCCCCAGTTAAAAGCATTCTAGCACAGAGGCAATCTTTGTGCAGTGCTGCTTTCACATCGGACGCAGCAAAATCGCGTCTGCTGCTTCATTTTTGCTGCTTGTACCAGTTAGTTCTGACGCGCGGCTGAAGCAGCTTTGCTGCTCTGGCTGCGCGGTGCAAAAGTGGGTCTGACGCGCGTTGGGCGGAGCTTCACTATCCTTTCTCTGCCTTGCAGCTATATTTGCTGTGATCAGTGGGAATAAAATAGTTTTAATATGTGTTTAAGTGAGAAAATACACCTGAAAACGTAATCAGTGCAGTCAGTTCATTCAGATTATTATCCTGCCTTCAATATTTTTTCTGTCGGAGCCGCTCAGACCCCCACATACCAGCGGTGCGCCGACAGTAGGGATCACTTCATCAGCAGCCTCTGGCCGGTCGCCTCCTCGCGGTTCACCGCGGCAGCTGGTAGGTGTTTTTCATCTAAATAATCCAAACTGCATATTCTGCCGGCAGATTTCTGCATTTTAAGTTAATTTAGGCGTCAATAAACTGTTTAAGAGGAGTGATCTTCAGCGCTGTGTCTCTCTCCCTGCGTCAGATGCTTAAACGCGCCGGACGCACTGCTTCAGCTGCTCAGACGCGCTGGGCCTGCTGCTCAAAACGCGCCGCGGGACCTTTTGCTGCGCCTTGACGCGCGTCAACCATTGACTTTGCATGTAAACTTGCTGCTTCTGTCACGCCAGCTACATCCAGTGTGAACGCAGCATTAGTCATTCGTTGCGTTCGCCTGTCTGCTAAGCTCAAAACAACCGCGCCTGGCTTGACGGAGAAACCAGGAGAACAGCTGTGCATATTTACGACAGTGCACTTTTACTTTCGCCCTCTGGGGGGAGCCTCGCTGGAAAATCAACACCGGTTGCATAGTGTACCTTTAAAGACAATACAGAAAATAAACCTAAAGAAAAATGCAAGTATCAGTTTTGCAAGACAGATTTATCATTTCATTATATTTGTAAAGTCGGTGTCCTTTTTTTAATTTAGTTTCATTTTTTATGTATTGCTTTACATATTAGATTAGATTTCTCTATCCGATCACTTTTATTAAAGAGTTTAGAATATAACAATCAGCAATCCTCCTTTTTTTTTCTTTTACATTTTGTTACAATAGTGCCTTTTATTAAAAACACCTATTAGTTTTCTTTATCAATATACAAACTAAAAAGCCTTTTGGAAGGTTTAAACTTCACCTAAACCGTTATCATAAAATATATTGTTTTAAAGTTGACCATTAAACACATTGTCACGTTTACTCCCTTTTTTAGGGATCTTAATTCAACAGATCCTTGATCACGTTTAGGAACACTTCTCCAACATAACAAAGTCCACCGGGTGTTAATACAGGAGAGACTGGATAAGAACATCAGTAAACAGTTTGCAAAGCATATTAGAGCAGAAATAATGAAATGAAATTAAATAAATTGCTTTTAAACCCCTGAAAGAACATGTAATTTGAATCTATTGTATTTTTCTTCAAATAGTGCTGCATTAATAAAGAAAAGCGGACTTTCCAAACCATTTAATCTGCTGTTTACCATTGTTAGTTGGCCTGTATTGGGCTGGATTATTAAGGTTTGATATATGTGAATATCTTCCAAAACCCATAGTATGACAGGTCCTCCACCATACTGGACAATATTTTAAGCTGGTTAATCATATAGTGAATCATGTTTTTGTCTTTTAAGGCCGTATTTCATACAGACTGTAGATGCAGTACTTGTCTTATTTAGCTGCAGATAACAGATATCGTTTCACACTCCCAATTACGGCATCTGCAATCCACCCTCACACATCACCTCCAACAGCTGCTAGAGAAGATCAAACGGCACACAGTAGCAGAGTGAAAATTTGCAGCTGAAGAGTAGTTGACACCACTATCCTCTCTCCTCTCCAACATCCAGTAATTAGCTTGTTCCCATTCAGCAGGCAATTGTGACAAGCTCTTTGCACCTGAGCATCTGTTGATAGCACTTTATGGGATTGAGTTGTAGGTTATATTGTTTCCCCCCCCACAACGTGCTTCACTTCTTTTTGTTGCTTTATGTTTTTCTAACCGCGAGTCTAACCTGTTTGTCTAAAACCCGATGCAAACGCAGACTATGCATACGACTGTTTCAGCTGCCATGAAGTGTAAAGATGTCAGAAGCCGTTGTATCTGTGGTACGCTTCCCTGTTTGGTGCGTTTCTCTTTTTTTTTACATGCTGGTTTTACATGCTGTTTTGAACGGAATGGGAATCTGTTCATCTCAGGCATGAAAAAAAATCAAACATTGGATGCTGTATTGTTTTTCTTTCTTCTTTTTCTTAATTTCAACACACTGATGGTAAACATGTTAATCCTGTAATCTACACTAGTAAAATTTTTCTACTCCAAAATAACTTTTATTGGCTCAATCTCTCTCATTTAAATTCATTTCTCATGCTCTCGTCTGCATCTCTCCCAAGTCTGAGTATAGTGACAGTCATTGCATGTAGGGGTTTAGTTTTCAGTTCACTTTGCAAAAGGCTTACAAAGAAGTCAATCATCATGATTTAAAAAAATAAGTGTTTATGTCATTCAGCCACAGACCCAACCTGAAGACCCTGCATAGCTGGAAACACGTCAACTAGTGAAATCTGCTTCATCTTCTTTTAAAGCTTCCAGTCACAACTAGGGCTGGGTAAAAAAAGATCGAATTTGAATCGATGACTTTACATTTTTGCAGAATCGACGTCTAGGGAATGAGATTGATTATTTTTATAGTG